AGGATGGCTCCTTTTATGTCTAAGCTATACATTCGAATTTTAATATCCAATATAAATTATACATCATTTTCCAATTTGTTGTCACCTACACTTTTTATTTACTTAGAGGAAATAAATAATCTTACAATAAATTACAATTAAATTAATAATGTTCTTGTTGTTCATATATATAGAAAAAGTTCCCTGGATAGAAGGTTTCGCTCAGGTTGAAAATAATTTACGACTTTTTAAGAACATTTCCTATTTCTAAATATTTAAGCATTCATAGCATTCATAAAAGAAACTCATCGAATTTTAATTAAACCTCCTACAGAATTGTTGATATCAAAAGCTATCTTCAATTCAATGATTTAAAAATCATTGAATTGAAGATAGCTTTTGATATCAACTAATAAAAATTCCTCAAGGAATTCAATTAGTTAAAAAGAATTTTAATAAAATTCTATACACTCAAACATTTCATTATTTTCATAAATAATAAAACTTATCGCAGACTTTCAAATATAAAATTTGAATGGAATTGAATTATTTTGAAAACCTTTGCCTATATATTTTCGTTGATTCAGATTTAGAGTATAACTAATTTATTGAAGATAATAAAATTAATATTTGATAGATAATAAAAAACTAATTTGTCTTCAGAATAAGGGGAATAGTGGATAATTTTTTTTATCAGTAGATCGTATAAGAAAAAGAGAGAGAGAGAGAGAGAGAGAGAGAGAGAGAGAGAGAGAGAGAGAGAGAGAGAGAGAGAGAGAGAGAGAGAGAGAGAGAGAGAGAGAGCACGTGCCTCGAAAAAAGGTAAACCTCAATAGGTTGTTAAGTCTTGGTGTTCATATGGAATTATCTTGTTTCCTTTCACCCCATATATATACAATATATGGTAGCTAAACGGAGGGAGTTAATTGCTCAAGATAAACCTACACCAGTAAGCCAAAATCTGCTGTGCTGTGTCTCGCAGTCAACTTATTTATATCTACTTAATGCGCCCCATGTGTTCACAGCTCTTATAAAATCACCCTGCTTGGCTCATCACATATCGCCCTCTCTCTTTCTCTCTCTCTCTTTCTCAATTTTTCTCTCCTCTTCCCTATGCGCGTTTATATTTAATAGTTCGTTCAGCTTTCCTTATCTCTCTCTTTCCCTCTCACTCTCTTTTCAGAGAATTGATATACAGAGGGTGTTTTCACAACTTAAACGCTCGCGTGCGTTTTCATAAATGGGATTCATGTCCAAATTTACGAGGGTTCAAACCGGTAACATATATAAATGGGTATAAATACCATTTACCTTACGAATGGGAGGATTATAAACTGATTCTTTTTTAAATCTTAATCTAAATTTTCGATCAAATTATATATTTTTATTGCTTTTATATGAAACGAAACATTTTTTTTTTTTTGTATGCTTTTATAAATGAAAGGGAATTTTTTGATAATTATTTTGGATGCTGTATTCAAAATTTATAGAAATGACCCAGATAGTAGTCTACGTAATAATCCTGCAGCAAATTGAGCAAACTAAGAAAAAAAAACGTTTTAAAACATTGCATTGTAACAATTTTGATATTTTTTTGTTTTATAGTTTGCATATAATCTTAGAAAAACTGTATTTGCATAATTTTTCTTTATACTAAATATTTAAGGGGTTACACCACTTTGAAATTTTCAAAAAATTGAAAAAAATTTTTTTTGCTTAAAATACTCCTTATGGTCACCAAAATGATATGTCATTAGTTATATATCGATATCTCAAGTAAAAAGACAATTTTCGAACTGTTCAAGCAGGGTCGCGCGCCAACGTTTACATTGTAATGAAAACTTTAAACGCGTTTTTCTCAAAACTGTATTTTAAAAATCGGTGGACACTCTGGATGCCACAAATTTCAATCGATCCTCTTAGTTCTTTTTTTATTTTGATTGTGATATAATTATCTAGCAAAATACGTACGGATTTTTCGAAATATTAATATTTAAATTTTCTAGACAACTTTAAATAATGAAATTTAGGCAAAAATATGGACTTTTTTCTTCAAATCGATGCCATTTTGCGAAAAATAAATTTTTTTTTAAAAAGGATACGTATTTCGCTAGATTTTGAGCTACAGAAACTAAAGCATTTTTATTTTTTGATCTAGCTTAATTCTGGACCGAGTTATAGTGTCCACCGTATGGCGATACATTTTTAAAGCACTTTAACATATCATCTGTCAAAACCGACAATTTAAAAAAAAAAAAGAAATTTATATATATTTTTTTGTAGTTCAAGAGTAGTACAATACCCTACTGTAATTTAATTTTCCTAAAAAAATTTCTATTCTTCAATAAAAATTGTTGAAAAAGCTTATGTTTTGAACGGGTCAAAGTGGTATAACCCCTTAAATATACTCATTTACATTTCACAAGAATTATTAAAATATCTTAAATGATTTCAATATAAAATCTTTTTGAAATTTAAGTAATTCTAAAAATTACAACTGTAATTCTTCTAAAAATCAATTATTTTTAAAAAATTTTTTAAATAAAATTATTCAAAACTTTAATCATTTTTGTTTGGAAAATAATAAATGGAAAAATTTTATAAAATAAAATTCTATATGCGGTAGTATAGTTTTACAACAATTAAATTTTTCAACAATTTTAATTTTAAAATCTTTTGAAATTTAATAATTTCTAAAAATTCGTACTATTACGCTTTTAATATTCAATTATTATTATCTAAAATTTCAACTGGAATTCATTTTTTAATTAATTTCTTATTAGACAGTTCAACTAAAATATTCAATTATGTAAATACAAAAATAATTTATTGTTTAAATTATACCTAATTTCTTCAAAATTAAATTCTTATAAAGGATTTTTTCAAAATTTTAAAAAATAATTGAATTTTAGTGAAGAATTTTATTAACATTTGTAATTGTCTTGAATTCATGATAAAAATTTTATAAAGAATTGATTTTTTTCAAAAAATTTTATGAAAATTTCTTGTATTTTGAATAATTCAATTCTTTTGTGAAAATTTTATTATTTATGGAAATAATTGAATGTTTGCGCGAAGAATATATTATCAAAATTCTTTTTTAAATAATTAAATTCAATCATTTTTGTTGTTAAAAATTTTAATTAAAATTATTCAAAACTTTAATGATTTTTCAAGAAAATAATATTTATTACTATCATTTTTTAAAATAAAAATTTAAATATAATTATTTATTGTTTTTAAAGATAATTGGAATTTTGACGTGGCATTTTTAAAATTTTTTTATAATAATTGAATTCTTTCGAAGATTTTTAATAAAATTTTTAAGAATAATTGTATTAATCGGGAATTCATTTTAAATTGTTTTAAAAATAATTGAATTCCTGTGAAAGATTTATTATTTATGAAAATAATTGAATTTCTGCGAACAATATTATTTAAATTATATTAAAAATAATTGAATTTACCTGAAGTATTTTATTTATTAAAATAATTAAATTTTCGATGAACTTAATTAAAATTTTATTGAAAATAATTTAATTGCAGAATTTTATTAACATTTTTGAAAATAATTGAATTTTTCCAAGAAACTTTATTAAAATTGAATTGAAAATAATTGAATTCTTTTGAAGAATTATTTTATAAATAATTAATTTTTTTCCAAAAAAATGTAATGAAAATTGTATTAAAAATAATTGAATTTCGTAAATTTTTTGAAAATAATTGAATCGTTTCTAAGAATTTAAAAAAAAATTTTTGAAAATAATTTTTTTTTTCAACTTTTAGTTACTTTTGAATTGTGCAAATTCTCAAAAAAAAAGAAAAAAGTAGTTTTTAGTGTCACAAATTACTTTATTCCTTTTATTCCGGATTTAAAAACTGAATCGAATCTACATTCTAAATTTCTCTATTATTAATATATTACAAATTGTAATATTATTTGAAGATGACACATACTTTTAAAATCCATAAAAAATTGCATTCATAGTTATAAGAATTTTTCTCCCAAAAAAAGTAAAAATTATACAGATTTTTAAACACCTCTTATCTATCTCATGATTTTCACTATAGACATTGATTTTCAATATAGAAAAAAAATTTTTTCACATAAAATAAAAACATAAAAGTCATAAAATTTTTTTTATGTTTTATTTACTTTTTTTTACGACACATTATGTAATTATTATACTAATTTTAAATATTGTAATAATATGTCAAAAGGAGGAATATAAAATTGTTTATTATTTGAAACTGAAATATTTTGTGATAAGATGTTTTTATATATATAATACAGAATTGAATTTTCTTCAAAAATAAAATCGTTGTATTATATCCGAAATTTTATTGGCTCGTAAAATCGTTCTATACACAAAGTATATAAGAAACTCTCTATATTTTCGAAATCTTTAAATATCGATAAGAATCTATATTCTTCTAATGCATTCAAATTTATTTAGCCAAGAGGAAAGAAAAAAAGATGCGCGACACGAAATGTGACTTAATTTTTATGTTCAAATAAAATGAAACCTAAAAAAGGGTCATTATTGAATTGATTCTTTTTGTTTTGAAATTACAAGGAAAATTGGTTTTAATTGCTCTTGAAAACAAAAAAGAAACATTAGTCGGCTTTCTTTTTTCTTTTTTTATTATAACTCGTACACATGATTTTTAAATTAGATTTTCTAAATATGAAATAATTACTCGAAAGCACTTTAAATTCTAAATATTATTGGGAAATATTTCATTATTGTTAATCACTGATTTTAAACTCATTAATTTAATGTTCTATTAGAGACAATTTCAAAAATTAATTTAGTTAATGGAAAAAACAAATTTAGAAAAGGAACAAAAAATTAAAAATTGCTATTAAAATAGTTAACATTCAGTGATTTGGATTATTTCTATAAGGAGGAATTAATTAATATTGAAAATCAAATTAAAAGATAATTAACAAACGAACTTATAGAATTTAACTATTTTTTATTTTTTTATTTACTACTTTGTATCATTTTTTTTTACAGAGTGAATTTTTTTGAAGATCGAAAAAGGGGGCCAAAGAGTGAAAAAAGGAAAAAGGTCAAAAAAGGCAAAAAAGGCCAAAAAGGAAAAAAGAGTCAATAAAGGCAGAAAGGACAAGATCCGAAGGTAAGAAAATTTATACAACAGAAATTATTTCATATATCGAATATTTATTCTCTGCTTATAGACAATATTCATTATGTACAACACTTAATTTTTTTATTAGTCTTATAGTAACAATGACTTTGATTTTTTAAAACAAAAATCACCAGGACTATTGTTTCATTATATTGATAATAAATTACTTACACTAAAAACTGTACAAAAATTAAAATTTCATTATACAAAAACAAAATACACACGCAGGCCACGCACATATACACAGAAACATATATTTCGTCAAAAAAAAACATTCTACGAACAAAAATTTAAAATTTACAGATAAAATTTTTTTTTCTCAATTTATTTACAATTTTTTTACTATATCGGCAAATGTTATTTCACACTCGTTGGTTACTTAAAAATCCGAGATTATTTTGGCAGTGACTCGATTATATATATTTTCTTTTTTTTATTTACAAATCTCAGTTTTTTAACGAAACTCTTCGAAAGGAAAATTTTTTTTTATTAACCGAAACAGTATAGGAGGAACTTTTAAATAAATAATCTGAATTTGTGAACAAAAAATAAAACTTTGAAAGCATGTATAAAATGATTTTTGTACTTTAAATCTAAATTTTGATTCTTTGCAAACTTTATCTAGATTTTGAATATTGTTCGTTTATTCCCGGTACATTTCTCATGTAGTGGGAATAGAATTCGGTAAATTTAATTTTACAATGTGAATGTAAAATTTGTATTCTGTATTTCGATTTTGTTATCAAAAAAATCATTATTGGAGCATTTTCCGTTTCTAATGATTTTTGAAATAATTAATAGAATCAACGATCTAGAGAAAACGAATGTTAGAAGTAAAAAAAAAAAAAAAAAACTGGGAAGGAAGTTCCATTTTTATATGGAATTTTCATCCACGAATTTAGCGTCATTAGTTAAAAATTTCACTGGAGTTTTGAAAGAAATGTTTGGGCTCTTTTTTGGTAATTGAATTAAACATTTGAAAAAATCGAACCCTTAGTATCGACGCGACGCTGAATTCGGGACTAAGTTTAATACCGAATTAAATGAAAAATAATTTATTTCTTTGGAAAAGAATTCAAAATTCGAATTTAAAGTACAATGAAGAAACTAAAGAGCGTAACAAAAATAATTCTAGTCTATGCTTTCTCTGTGATGTCATTTTTGTACGGTTGGAAGAGTTTCGGTGGTTCGACTTTAATACCTTTTTGTAATGTTGGCGATGATGTGAGGCCAATTCCATAATCGGCGATTGTTTTTTGTTCGTAAACATTGTGCATTGCTTGAATTGGCGACGCGAGACTTGCAACTGGTTTTAGTGGTGGCGATGCCTTGTCACGTGAGGCAATGTGACATGCACCGTGTGGATGAATTGATCCAGAGCAGTCGCAATCACTGGAGGTGTCAGAATGAACTGGACTCATTTCTGATAACATTGTGGGCCTGTAGGTTGGTGTTGTGTTGGTTGAAAGTGGTGGACTCATGTACGGTGTGTTGCCGACATTTGGCACGCCTAGGCCTGGTAGATGGAGGGGCGGCAGGTTGTGGTGGGGTTGGAGAATGTGTGGGTGATGAGGATAACTCGGCGACTGGAGGTGTGGCCTCTGCAGGGATGCTGCGTTCGTTGCTGGCGCAGAGCTTCCATAGGGAGAGAAACGGGCTCCATAATATGCAGCGGGCAGAGGATAGTTGAGATGAATTCCAGCAGCAGGTGTTGGATATGGAGGGTGTTGTAGTGTTGATGCCGCTGCTATTGTCGCCAATGTTGCTGCGAAATTTGGATCCATGTAGGGCCATGCCAGCGCCATTCTTTGCCGTTTGTCCTTCATGCGACGGTTTTGGAACCATACCTGTAATTAGGGAAAAAAAGATCATTAGATTTTTGTTTCAGGAGACAATAGTTTTGTTGACCATGAGTCTTTGGTAAGTAACTTAGATGCTGTACCTTAGAAACCGCAGTAACTTAGATGCTGTACGTTAGTAATCAGTAAGTTACTGTACCTTAGAAACCAGTAATAATTGTTGATGAATTTGTAATTATTGAATTGAGTCAGAATTATCATCATAATTGATGCTTTTTGCAACAATTCGGACAGAAAAGATCAGAATCTAATGATGCTTTTGCAACAATTAGGTCAGAAAAGATCAGAACCTAATGATGCTTTTGCAATAACAATTAGGAAAGAAAAAAAATCAGAATGTAAAAATTCGTGTTAATTTATTCAGAACTGCTAATGGATTTAGATATTTCGTAAGACGGAGGCAGAGGATAGTGTTTGTTAATTAGCACCTCGAAGGTTCTAACGAATTTGTAGGCGCAGGTAGCGGGAGAATTAAGAATCGAGATTCAGTTCGAGTAAGCCTGGAAGCTAATAATTCTCGGCTTCCACGCTTACTCCTCGGGTGTTTGCTCTCGGTGATTAAGTATTTACTCTGCGACAATAAAAAGAGAAAAGGCGCCGCTTCAAGAGCTCTCTCTTGAGGCTATAATCGCTGCTCAAATATGGCGGCTCGCGCAACAACATCTACCGAGAAAGGCGGCTTGGGAAAAAAAGATCCTTCTAATTGCTTTCATTCAGAAGTTTTATCCTGTCGCCATGGTTCTACAATTTTTGGATGTTCTTTAGTCTTTAATGTTGATTCTTTAGTCTTTAATGCTGACTCTTTAGTCTTTAATACTGACTCAATTCAAGATGATGGAGATGATAAAATTGTGGAAAGATGATAGAATAGTAAAAAGATAATTACCTTGATTGTAGATTCTGGAAGTTGGAGTTGCGTCGCCAGTTCGCATCTTCTAGGTCTGCTGACATAATTTTCCCTGACAAACTCCTTCTCCAATCGGCTGAGTTGTTCACGAGTGAATGCGGTTCTGTATCTTCGCATATTCGGATCCATGTTGTTTAGGGTCTGCTGTTGCTGAGGTTGCTTCTCCTGATTTGTAACATCTGTAAAAGAAACGATTTACATGAACAACACGAACTTGATTAACTGGAAATACTTAAATTAGCAATAGTAGTAACAGTAGCATCTCAAAGTGTCTACTCAAACCAAAATTTGAATATTAGAATAACTTTCCACCCATTTGAAAATTGAAATAAAGCCTTGAAATGTCCCGTCGAGGGTGAAATCGAGGAGTAAACACTTAGAAAGTTAACTTCCGATAAGTGACGGTCCTTAGAAGTGGAAAATTTCCGGATGCTAATGAAAAACTGTGGTCGGTATGCTTTGAGGTATATTTGACAGAAAAGAAGCGGAGCACTAAGAGAACAAGTAGGTGGTCCATAGGATTCGGACTCCCTACAGTGTCACCTTTTTAAACATTGCTCCAAAAGATTGTGTTCTCGCGCTTTTTATGACAATAGCGGTGTCTATACGCAAAGCCATTGTGGGTTACGCAATTTCTTTGATGTTTCCCGGCGACATGAAAATTTTCCCGAAAAGAATAAAAAAACCACTATAATGTTCAATAAACATTTTAGCTACGGTGTACAATTAACCCAGTGATCTAACTTTAAAGGAGAAAAAGAAGTAAAAAAAAAAAATAAAGGAGGAAAAAAAAGAAGAAAAAAATCCAAATACAGAAAGACATAATAGATTATTGCTCCTCAAACATCGAATTTGTTACGGGTTGTTTGTAACATGCAGTCTAGCAACAAACCTGTTGCAAGACATCAATAATAATAAAAATTGCATTTTTGGGAAATAAGGCAGTAAAGTAATTACCGCAATAAAACTTTGAGAAACTAGTTTTGGTCAAAGGCAAGAGGAACTCTCTCTACCTCCCTCTCTCGTTCCAGGAAGGATTACAATACAAGCTGCAAATCTTTTTTGAAAAAGTTATGTTTATGACATATTTAGGACCTTGAAGCTAAGAAGTGGTATTCAAATTTTGTAATGTAAATTTTTGAATGTAAATCTTAATGCATTAAGATTATGGACAATCAATTGGATTATCCCCATAGAACTATAATTATCGACACGCGAAATCGTCTAACATCGTAAATCTGTATATACAAACAGCTTATGCTAATCCGTTTAAGTTAAAATGAATCCTCCCCCATCAGGTACAAACCACTATTGTTTATCTCGTTATTGAATTTAGAGAAATTTTCACCGAGAAGAGAACACCAGTAATTTGTAAAGACTTTTGGCTTAACTCACTAGTGCGTTAAGTTTTTACGAATGAACAAAATGATTGCATATCATAAATATTATTTTTCAAAAGCTGTATATATACTGTAGTGTACAAATGCTGTTTTACAGCATTAGGTTTTAGCTAATAATGAAAATTGAAAATGAAAACGCAAATTTTATAAGCTACTTATGAGTGAAAAATTTGGGGAAAAGTATTTATGGTTTATTGGCATTGCACAATTCAATTATTCTTGAAATTTTTCATTTGTGTTGTGTAGATTTTGTTGTTGGTGAAAAGGTTTACAAGAAGCAAAATTTTTTTGTTTAGAAGAATGTTGCGAAAAAATGAGTTAGAACATTTGGAAAATAAATAGAGATTCAAGGCAATTTTTGGGAAATTCTTCCCGAAAATTTGAAATGTAATTTTTAGTTATTAGTTCGAAATAGTAGACAATCGGAAGTACTTCTACAATTCAAAGCTAGTAAAAAATGAAATGTTTCAAATTTTTGGTTCCTGCTTCCTCAATCCAATAAGTTGCACGAAATTATTTTAGTAAATCAAGTATCAAAAATTAGAAAAAAGTTAGTGGAGAATTTTGAAAGAAGAATTTAGCAGCAACGGAAATTTTGGAACCAAACGAAAATTTCTTTTGAACTAAAGAAATGAGATTTTAATAGAGTAGTGGAGAAATATTAACCTTTATCAGATTTGATGCACTGGTTGATTGGGGGACTATTCGGTGGAGTGCTGTGAAGATGGTACTGAGGTGGCACTATATCCACGACAATCGTCTCCTCCTCCCTTTGATCCCGTTGATTTTCAAAACTCCTCTGATGATAGCCTTGCATGATTATGTCCACACTAATTACTTTTTAAAACAAACAGAATTGAAAACAAATTTTGAATTAATATCAAAACTTGTGTCTATTCACTTTTCACTTGCACTGTAAATTTTTGTCATCCAGCACTGCTGGAATTGAAACAACTTGCTCCGATTTTTAAAACAATTTTGAAACAATGTTGAAACAATATTGAAACAATTTGAAAACAACTATTCAATGCACTTTATTTTTAAAGAGTGAAAATTTGAAGTAGATTAATAAAAACGATTTTGTTTTTTCATCCACAGGAGTGATGGTGTGATGATGATACTACTGAGAGTGTACTGAAGATGTTGAGTTGGATGAAGCTGTATTTATGTCCTCTGGAACATTGGAAGGAAGAGGTGGTAACGACGTTGAACGGGAAATTCACAACCATTGGCTGATCGATCCACTGGTGGACTATGGTTGGCTGAAAGAGGTTCCTGCTTTTCACGCCCCCTTATTGCTTCCGTACCTGCTACGCTTTCAAGAGGGGGGAGAGGATGTGCTGCTGCTGCTACTGCTATGGATCTTGGTGAGAGAATTATCTCTAATAATTCCGCTATATAAATTCGTTATGATTCACTCTACAGTATGGGTAAATCTTGTTGCTTCTGTATAGTATTCTGGTGGGATGTATATAGATATAGGTGTAGGACGAAATAGTGTCTTTCACTAGTTTAGGGATTCATATTTCACATTCATGAACATGCGTGATAATGCCGACCTCCCTTTCGTTAGGGTTTACACATAAACACGTTAATTTGCTTTTCAGAATCTTGTTGTGGAGGATAAATATTTGCTCCGTTTATTTTTAGATTGGAAAATAGTTTTTAAAACCATTTGATAAAATTGTTGGGCTCTGCATCTAATTAATTGTTGAAGCATAATTTCATGATGCATCTCTTTTTTTACCGCATGATTTTTTCTGAATGGAAAAATTAGTTCGATAAAATTATTTAACGTATTTTGATGCATCTCTTTTTTAGTCAAAGAAAAATAAACATTTACCGTTTTTCATCATTGGGTGATGCATAATTTAATGATGCTTCTTTTTTTGTTGTTGAAAATAACTTCTTATGTGATGAGAATGTAAAAATTATTTAACATTTTACTTTTATTAGGTGCATAGTTTAATGCTGGATCTCTTTTAGTGGTCTAAAGAATTATTTAGCGTTTTTCATCATCAGAAGAAATTATTTAGTGTTTTATGTCATTAAATAATTTTAATGATGCTTCAGTTTCAAAAAATCAGTTAAATGCTATTAGGTGCGATCAAAATTTCTATTTTTTAATATTCTCTTCACTAATGAGAAGGTATTTTGGTGAATAAAAGGTTAATTTTTAGTTGTTGGACATTTTGGTCTGAATAAATGTTAGTTTAGTTTAATGTTAATTTTAGGTGAGTTTAGGATATACATAAAGATGTTTGTACCTAATGTTTGGGTTAAACAGCATTTGTTTGATTTTTAAGTGCTGACAAATATTAACTTCGTTTTAATTTTTGCTTTCTCGTAAAGAAGCCTTTTATTTTTTATGATTAATAACAATTATTACTAAATAATAATATTGTTATTAATAACAATATAATAAAAATATTAATTAATATTTTTATTATTATTTCTACTACTATTTTTATTATTATTAAAATTTTTGTTATTATTATTTCTATTATTTTTATTATTATTAATATTTATATTATTTCATTATTACTATTAGTTTTTATTATTATTATTATCATTTAATACAAAGCTGATTGCTCTTAAAAGTAGAATAGTTTCTTAAACCTTAAAATAGTTTTCTAAACGATTGTTCCTTAATTATTTATTTTTGTTTAGAAATGAATAATTTTTCCCTAATACCGTATTCCCTTTCTGGTATTTATATAATATGTGTTTATTCTTTTTTGAAATAATAGAAATGAGTTTGCCGCATGAAATCATTCTTATATAATTACCATCATTAACATTCATTGTCCCCTTTTCATTGACAACAGTTAATAAATCTTTCGTTAAGTGTACATTATCATAATTAGTATTCATTGTTTGATATTAATTAATTATTAATGAGCATCATTAAATTGTTGACGATAATAAAATAATAATCCGAAAATTAAGGCAAATATTAATAAAAAATTAGCAAAATTGGCAAATAAAAATGGTAATAATTTTAAAAAAATTAAAAAAAAATTTTTTTTAATGGTTTTTATTAAGTCTAACAGTTACAACCAAAAATAATAATAAATATTGTAGTAATAAAAGAATAGTGATAATATAAAAATAGTAATAATAAAAATAGAAATAAAAAAATTATAGTTTTCTCCGTTTAATTATTTAAAATTCAGAAACAAAAAGAATTATTTTTTATCATTCAAATTTAGCACGAAGAATGTTAATTTTCAATATTAAAATTGAAAAAAAATATTACTTTGCCGGGCTTATTCTTTTTTTTTATCTTTAATAAAGTTGTATATCGAAATGAATATTTTGCCTCCGCACTTTAACGATGACGCGATTCGTCTCGGAAAATTGAGTATGAAAGATGCGTTGTGAAAACATTTTTGAAAAACATATTTACGGCACATTTACAATCCGACTCGGACTGCAAAAATTGTGTATAAAATTGTCGCTTCCAAAAACGCACGCACCAACAAAAAAAAAAAAAATAAATAAAGAAAAAAATAGAGAGGAAAACCGAAGAATGAGAACAATGGGTAAACCTCATAAAAAGTATATAAGAAAGTTACCTTCGAAAATTTTGGTTTTACTTGTATAAGATTTTTTTTTTCCCCCTCGAAACAAGAAAATATCCGCACTCAAAATTATACAGAGAGAAGCCGCGCCTCTCTCTCACACTATAATCGTCGTAAAACATGGCGAAATAAGTTTTTGCTCCATTTTAAACGCATTTATGATGGCAAAACAATGAAAAAAACTGTAGCAAAAATTTCGGCCTGCTCCAGAAAAAAAAGAAAGAAAGAAGGAAAAAAAAGAAAACATCAGTCATTGAATTATGATTTTTGTCATTGACATTTAAATTTTTACGGTCTTTGGGGGAAAAAATTTTTTTTTTTTAGGATTTATAGAGAAATTTGGTTTAATTTTTTGGAAAATTTTTGCAGTTTTTATAATTTTTTTCCGAATTTAATAAACAAAAAAAGAAAAATACTAAATTTTTTTTCTAAATTCTGCGTATTTCTAAAAAATATTTTATTTTAATACTTAATACTTTCAATGTAAATTTTAGCAATTTGTACTAAAATTTACTTTCAAAATAAAATTTTCTCTGGAAAATAATTTTATTAGGTCAAAAGTAAATTTTACTAATTTTTACGAAATTTAACTTCAAACATAAAATATATTTCAGAAAAAATGTCCTTACGTCGAAAGTAAATTTTACTAATTTTTATAATTATATAAATTTATTTATTTATTTAAATTTACTTCGAACATAGTAAATAAAGTTTTTCCTGAAAAGTTTTACTACGTTCAAGGTAAATTTTAATAATTTTTACTAAAATTTACTTTAAAAATAAAATTTTCTCTGGAAAAAAATTTTACTATATGTCAAAAGTAAATTTTACTAATTTTTACGAAATTTAACTTCAAACATAAAATTTATTTCAGAAAAAATTTCCTTACGTCGAAAGTAAATTTTACTAATTTTTATAATTGTATAAATTTATTTAGTTTATTTATTTATTTAAATTTACTTCGAAAATAGTAAATAGAGTTTCTCCTGAAATGTTTTACTATACGTTCAAGGTAGATTTTAATAATTTTTACTAAAATTTACTTTAAAAATAAAATTTTTTTTGAAAAAAATTTACTCTCGAAAAAATTTTTACTTCGTCGAAAGTAAAATTTATTAATTTTAATAGTTAATTATTTATTTTGTAAGTAGAAATGTGACTCCTTGATAAATTTTACTACATTCAAAGTAAATTTTACTAATTTTTACTAAAATTTACTTTAAACATAAAATTTACTCCAGAAAATAATTTTGCTACGTCTAAAGTAAATTTTTAAAATAATGAAGTAATTTTAAAAATACTAAATTTACTTCGAAAGTAGTGAATAAAGTTTCTCAGAAATAAATTTTTCGATAAATTGAAATTAATTTCCGGTTCCTTGACAAAATTTTAATTTTTAAAATATTCAATATGAATAATATGGATTATTTGAAATTTTTTTCAAGTCAATATTTATTGAGAGTCGATTGAATTGTTCTAAATTTTAATTTTGCTTAAGATTTTCCTAACTTTTAATTTGCTTTAGATTTACCTAAATTTTATTTTGCCTAAGATTTTTCTAAATTTTAATTAACCTAAAATTTTTTCTAATAAATTTTAATTTGCTTCAAATTTTGACTAAATCGGTAAAATTTCTACACCCAGAGAAAAAAGTTATTTATTTTAACTAAAAGTGTATATTTAAGAAAAATGTATTTGTTGCAAATAAATATTTTATTTAAAATAAATAAACTAATATTTATTTCAAATAAATGCACTAATTAATCTAAAATAAAGAAATATATTTGCAATTTATGAAATAGTATATTTGTAGCAAATAAAAAATATATTTGATTCAAATAAATGTTTGTTTGACTTATAAGTAGACGCCTGCGCATATTGCATTGCTATAGTAAAACAATAAGATGTTTTGCTTTTAACAGTTTAACGCGTACAATTATAAGAGGTTTATTCATCATGAATAGTTAACAAATTTAATTGATTTAAGTACAGAATTTTTCTTTTTAAGTGAAAATTTTAATTAGTACAAAGTAACAGATTTGTATGTGATTTCATTTACATTTTAGTGTCTTATTTGAGATTTTGTGAGAAAAATGTGACAGTGGACTTTTACATATGAAGTGAAAAAGTAAAGTAAAATGACTAACAATAAAAAAACCTGACTTTATTTAACAAATATTCTTATAAAAATAAACATTTATTTTAATGAATATTAAAAGTTCCATTAGTGATTGTGATTGTTA